TACAGCCTGAGTTTGCTTTCTGATAGCTGAATTGCTGCCAAGAGCAATAAAATTTAATAATGAGCAACTGGAAAGATAAAGGAAAATAATGAAGTAGATGGCATTAAAGAAGCTGCTAAGTGGAAGGAAGTGTATGTGATTTGCCAGGAGCCGTGGATAGACAGTCCACAAGAGATCTGAAATCAATCACTAATGCCTGCTACCAGGCTCCACATGCTCTCTGACGGCTCTACCACACCCCAACAATGGGCTCTGCCAACTGTGACCCCCGCAGGAGGGCCAGTAGAACACTGCTTACTACTTTTGACCTTCAAAAAGAAATATGATTAAGGTATATTCTCTGTAGATGGGAAGAAAACCCAGGACAGAGGTATCTCTTAGGTACGGTATAACAGAAAACCCAGGGGCAGGTAGTGAGGGTTCCTTAACAAGCACAGGTCACAAGTTTAAACTAAAGCTTGTATACTTTACGTTAAGAAAATATAAGTAAAGGACCTGGCCTGGTGCCTAATATTGGTACTACATACATGAGAGTTCCTGTTCTTTCATTCATAGGGGATATTCTTAGATTTCCCTCTCAGACCCACTTCTTTTACTGCCTAAAAAACTGCTTAAACCTTGTTTTTTAGACCACAGCAAAGATGAAAAAGAAAAAAGAGAAGATAAGTACGTTACAAAAAGTCAGCTCATTAACAACAGTAAGAAACATCAGCTTTGTGTTGAGAGAGAAGAAATTAAACAGAGAATCTGGCACATTAACTAAAAATCATAATGGTCAAGGGCCATTTAACGCAAGGGTAGGTGGCCCCATTTCACAATTGCTCTGCATTGCAGCCCAATATGATAACTGCTGTTAATAATCATGCCCTAGATATAAAGAATAAGGAGAATTTTGTTTCTGCACTCAATATGAAAGGTAATTTTAGGTTTGAGAGAGTTTCAGCTGCGTGGAAAATGTACTTACACAGACTATCTCATTTCTTGATGATGTCTAGTTGGTTCTCAACTCCAAAGCTAGAGTTATTGTTTTAAATCATAACCCAGATCATGTCACTTGCCCACTCACTGGTTTCCCATTTTACTGAGACTAAACCCTTACTACTCATAATGTGAACCTCAGACCGACAATACCAGCACCACCTGCAAGCTCATTAGTGCTGCAGAATCTCAGAGCCACTCAGACCTGCTGAATGAGAATCTTCATTGTATCTAGATCCCTAGGATGTTTGTTAGGACATTAAGCAGTACAAACCTGCGCTACCTGGCTCCTCATTTCCTATTACTCTACTTTTTGCTTTCTCAGCTCCAATACAGGGACTTCTACTTTTCATATAGTCCATACACGTTCTCTCCTCTAGGCCTTTGTCATGGTCTTCTGCCACAAATGCTCTTCTCTTGGATACTTACATGGTGAACTGGCTCACCACCCTCAAGCCTTTACTCAAACCTCACATTCTCAATGAAGCCACCTGTTTAAAAATGCAACCACCCAAAAATGCAACACTTGAGCCCCTCCTGATCACCCTTGCTGTATTTTCTCCCCATAACTCTTCACCTTTCTAACATTCTGCACAACTGACTTATTTGTTTGCTTATTGTTTATTGTCTACCTCCCTCTGCTAGAGTGTAGCATCATGTGGATATTTTGATATTGACACAGCATCCAAATGCATGATTATTTTCCTAGTAATTCATTTTCATTGTATTCCACATAGTATCATGTGGTGAAATAGAAAGCAACCAACCAAAAAGTGGTCTTTAATAAAAATTTTGAGAAATACTGGCCCAGGACAGTTCCTGGCACATAGCGTTTATAATTATTTTTTGAATAAATAAATAAATAGAAGAACAAATGTCTACAGTAGAAGCTTTTACATAGTAAAACCAGATAAGGTCTGTATACATTGCTGTCAGTCATATTAAATAATTTAACTGCTTGGATTAGTGCCCAAGTGACTAGGATTGTGTACTTCCTGGGTATGTTGTGCATTTCTCTTAATGTGAGCAAAGGGTTGGCCCATGTGGGCCAGTTAGGGACACTTCTTATACTCTGAAGACAGCCTTAAGACCCATATTTACAGACTTCTTTGCATGGCTGCTTGAGCTGAGCTTGAGATGGAGTAACTTTAGATTTACTCCCTGCTTCTAACTCTTACCTCACAAAACCGCTTCATAGAATAATGAAGTTAGACCTCACTGCAAATTAAAAAGCAAACCTATTGGATGTTAGCGTTTTTTTTTAAACTGGAAAGTTCACAATATTTTCATTCAGCCTTCCACAAAATCATGGGTTAAAACAATGGGTCATTTAAAACATAGAATTAAACACAAAGGTATAATTTGCTAAAATGTTTCTTAAATAATATATTCTTGTTTCTACAACTGATAATATAAACGAAACAAAAAATTTTGTTCTTCATCTTTGTTGTTTTCTAAGATCAAGAGGAATTTGATTTACATATAATGCTTTCTCATGTCTTCATGTCTAAACTTTCTTTGCTTCTCCTGCCCCAAACAGCAATAACACAAAATGAAATAGCTTGGATTATTTTAATTCCTTTCACTAACTATCTATTTGGAGGTTGTCTCAGAAACATTTGCTTTGTTCCAGGATTGTTAGAAATACATTTTAAAACTTATCTCTGATTGCTACTTAATTAGAGTTTCATCTCACTCTTGTTCCTATCATATTTCATCACCACTTTGGATGCTCGAGAATTCAATTTGAGACTTAGGTTAGGTTGTAAGGAGAGAACTCATAAATGGAAAGCCATGATTCTAGAGAGTTTTAAATTTAGTAGATGCATTAAAGTAACTATAATACAAAGCAGGATGTGATAAGTACTATAAGAAACACTAAAAGAGCAGGGAACCATTGTGGACCTTGAAGACTGAAGAGGATTTTGAAAAGTAAACGAGGGAGAAGGACATGTGGAGCAGAAGAGGCAGCATGAATAGTCATAGAGGAGGGAAAGAACACACCAGGCATGTTCAGGAATACGAAATAGTTTGGATATTCGGAAGCACAGAATGAAAAAAGAGAGCAGTGGAAGTTAGAGCTAGAAAAGAAGATTAGGATCAGAACAGAGAAAGCTGTGAAGGTCATGCTGGGATACTAGGGAGTCACTGAAGAGTGTGGATGGACAGATTTTGCTTTAGAAATCTTAGGTTTCTGTTGGCATAAGAGAAGCTGAAGGGGAAGAATGGAGGCAGGGAGTAATGGTGATGGGGGCAGACCCAGTAAAAATCAGTTAGACTGGAAGGAAGAGACAACTCTAGAAAGTGCATATGAGCCATTTATAACAAATCAGATGTGTAACTTATTAATAAATCTGACTTTGTGAGATACTTTCCTAAAGAGTGGGAAAGGCCATTGTAATCCAACAAGTCTCTTTTCTTTTTAATAATTATTAATTCAAAATGCAATGTATTTTTACTTCTCCTGAACTATCTCACCAAAACATAATGCCTTACAAAAAGAACTTTATATCTCTACCTAGTTTTCATGTTCATAGATTAACTTTGTATTTATATAATAGCAATAACAATAATTACCATAGCAGCAATTGACATCTACTAGACTCTTACTATGAGCCAAACACTGTGATATGCCCTTTACTTACACTAGCTCATTTAATCCTAAGTAAAACCTCTCAGATATGCATTACTATTTCCTTCACTCTACACGTGTAGGTACTAAAGTAAGGAGTTGCTACATAACTTGATTAACACAGGAGAGCAGAGATTTGAATCCAGGCAGGTCTGATGCCAAAACCTGTCAGTATGGTTTAGCTGTTCAACCATACTTAAAATTTTTCTTTTTGGGAATTACATCTATTTAAAAATAGAATACCAAAACAGAAGAAAAACTAGATAGGACAAATAGAAAACAAATAGCAAGATGATAGATTTGAACCAAGACATATCAATAATCCCATTAAATATAAATGCTCTAAATACTCCAATTAAAAGATAGAGATTATCTGTTTGGATAGAGAAAAGCATGAACCAAAATCTTGCATAATGAATTTTGCTTCCTCATACTATTTTCCCCCTAAATTCTCTCCTCTTTTTTTGTACTACTTTTACCCCTACTTCATTGTGGCCTTATTCCTGAACACTGTCTGGCTATGAGGAAAATATTTCCTGTGTCAGGTTTATCATTTACTACACGTCCATTTAAAAGGTTCTGCTATAATGGACTCATCGTCTTGTCTCTCTCCAAGAGTTTAAGATCCATATAGACTGAAGTCATAACACATTTATTATGCATTTCCCACTTCATACTATGCTACTTGGTCATCAAAAAACAGGCTAAGAAGAAAACTGAAGAGATTTGATAAATTGCTTTATATTTCAGAAAAATAGATGAGGTTGACATTAAGTGTAACATCAGAAGCATTTCTTTTCTTGGAATGGTTCATGCAGTTCTTAGTATTTCTGGCTTGTAAATGTTTCTAACAATTATGTTTGTATTTTATCTTCCAGAAGCACTGATTATAGCTGCATGCAAACCTGAAACTGACTTTTACCATATTCTGTAGCAAGAAATTTAGAAAATGAGCCAGAAACAGTCATTTCCCAAAGGCATATCTGTCTTCTTGCTCAAAGAATGACCACGTTGCCAAAAGGGCAGAACTACTTTCTAAATTCATATTCTTTATCAAGTCTTAGATTTTGACCCTGCATGACCCGCTCCACTAAAAGCTGGTCTGCTGTTTATCTTCCCTTTAATAAAATGAAATTTGAGAACAGTTTCCTAGTTTAAGGTTAAGTAAATGGAAAAGCATAGTCTTTGATATTCATTACCCTCAATGACATGGGTACCTGGTAAACTTTTACCTTTAATACAAGTTTTACATCCAGCCTGTATGGCTTCCTAAAATTGAACTCTTTGCTAACTTTTGGTCATATTGCTACCTAATTGAGTCCTGCCCCAAAAACACACTAAAAACATGTAAATGGTAGAAGCAGCATGCAATTCAAAATATTCTTCTTACCAGGCTTTTGAGGGGCTCCCCGGAGACTCAGTCCTTGGTAATCTGGAGCAGGATGGCGTATCCGAGAAGACAGCAAATCAGTCCCAGAAACTGAGTGCTTCAGAAAAACCCAGTAAAAGAAATATTATTCTTATCCTCTGATGAAACAGCCTTAAGGTCATGGCTTCTATTTAACGAAGGGGCACTTAACCCTGACTAAAAGGAAGAGGTTAAGTATATTGGAGTTATTTGTAAGTTGCTCCCATCTTGCATAGAATTGAATGGAGGACCTCTCCTTGGGGCAATTAGAAGCAAAGTCTCAACATCTTTTGCTTCATTGTTTATTTCTTCCTCAGAACAAGTCAACCTAGCCTCCTGTTATATTAATTATAGTACAGAATATAAAACAGCTATGTGCTGATTTTGACCTATACTTAATTTTTATCCCTAAGAAAGAAAAAAGAAAACCTATAGGAAGGTATTAATCTACTTAACATTTCTAAGTACATCATCCAAAGGATTTTGTTTTTTTAATCTTACATATGCTCAGCAGAGTTACTGGCAAAAACTGTACATTTTCTTCATTTCATCCTTTCAACATCAAATAGTAGGCAGCAAAAATTGGATCAGACTTCAAAGCCTGCTGTGGGCTCCAAGTCACAGAGAGACGCCTCCATTTCACATATTGAATTCGAGCAGGATATCAAAGTGCTACCAAAGATCCTCGGGTCCTTACTCAAAAAGAGGCTCTAACATCTGTAGAGAGTGGAGTGCACAGACAAATCACCTCAGGGAGCAGCTAACATTTATTCTCAGCAGCAAATTTCCAGGCTTTTGATTCTCTCTCCACTGTACCTCCCTGTCTCTCTACTGAACCAAAGTTCTTTAGCAAGCTGGGCTTTTGTCTCAAAGACTTCAAAATATCACTAACAGTTTCAAGTTTGGATGGCCCAACCAAGCAGCCACAGACAAGCTTCATGCCTGCGAACCTGGATGAGTCTGATGGAAGAATACACAGTTACTTCAAAATCAAGATATCCAGGTACCTTGTCTGCATGTCCTGTGAAGATATCGTGCCCTTTTGGAGAACTCTGGGCTTGTGAATGCCTGAAAAGACAAAGATAATAACAATTTTAAAAGACTTGAAAATAATAATAGAAAAACTTAAAGAGGATTGTTTTTCTTCAAAGATATATCAAAGCATACTCTTTAAGCTTCCATCGTTTCCCGTTTCAGTCCTTGGTTAAAAGGACACGGTCACCTTAAAAAAACAAGTCCTACTAGGTGTTCCTCCTACATGTCACTGCACATCTGCAGTCTGCCTGAATTCCTAAGATCCAAGAAACTGCTCTTTTTAAAGTTGTGTGATTGGCTTTGGTTTAGTGAGCTCCATCAGGCGTCCACAAACCTGGCCAAGAAGCCATCTACATTGACGCCAAGGCTGTACTTCCTGCGCAGCACGTGAATCACATTTATGGTTACAGAATTTAAAATGGAATCCAGAGTCAAATAAGTTTGGGAAATGTTAGGTTGGACATAGTTTAAGAGGTTTCCTCCTGCAGGAATAATCTTTTAAAATCACAATATACATTTATGGATCTCTATAGTAAAGATCCAGGGAGGATGCAGGGTATCCAGAAGTAATTTGACCAAGAAGCTTAAACAGATAACCTATTAACATCTAGTAAAATATTAATGCTTCACGAAACAAAGTTTGGAAAAATCCATTGTTCTAGGTCCCCAATTTTTCATAATCAGAACACACTGTATAAAATTATGCTTATAACACTCAGATAAAATAGGAGTCGCGCATAATGCCTTTCAGATGGAACCAGCAGAAGGGAAAGCACTGACTAAAAAAGGGAAATCCGTGTGCTGACCCCTGCCTCACACACATGCACACATGCGACACACATGACACACAACAAACATGTGACTTTGGGTAAGTTTCTGTAGTATTCCTGGTCCTAGTTTTCATCATCTATAAAATGAGGAGATTGAGATAAATTATTCTTACAGTCTCTTCCAGTTCTATATGAATAATTGTATTCTTTACTTAAGCTCACAAATTCATTTTTATATATCTATTTGTGGATACTACCTTCAAAATATATATTATAAGCAATATGCCCATTTAAAAACTATCACATCAGGACAGGGCGGTGGCTCACACTTGCAATTCTAGCACTTTGGGAGGCCGAGACAGGTGGATTATCTGAGGTGAGGAGTTCAGAACCAGCCTGCCCAATATGGTGAAACCCCAACTCCACTAGAAAATGCAAAAATTAGCCAGGTGTGGTGGTGGGCACCTGTAATCCTAGCTACTAGGGAGGCTGAGACAGGAGAATTGCTTGAACCCAGGAGGCAGAGGTTGCAGTGAGTTGAGATCACGCCACTGCACCCCAGCCTGGGGTACAAGAGCAAGAACTCTGTCTCAAGAAAAAAAAATTATCATATCAGTACTTGGAAGGAAGGGACTATAATTCTACATTTATTTGTGTATATATTTGTTTATCATGTGTCCCACAATGGAATGAAAGTTACATGAAGTCAGGGACTGGATCTGCTCTGTTTCACACTCTATGGAAGCACCTACCCAGTGTCTGGTACATAGTAGATGCTTAATAAATATAGACCATTTGAATAAAGAATAATTACTCAATCCACAAACTATGGGGCCATGTAGATCAGTAAGAATACTCTTACTACTAAAATTAAATTAACTACCATTTATATACTACTTCATTTTAAAAAATGCTTTTAAATATTAAAAAGCTTCACAACCATTTGGTCTAAGTACTTTCATTGTAGCTATTATATAGATGAAGAAACAGGTTCAGAGAGGTTAAGAGATTTTCCCAGGTATCACGGTAAATACCTGGTAGAGCTAAGGCACTCACCCATGTTTGTCTGACTCCAGGCCCTCTGCTCTTCCTTCGAACCATAATATACTCTATACCCTTCAGTATCTAAGCACTGGCCCAAAGGACTCACTCCTGTCCCAGTAGCTATGACACACCTATAGGATGGGTGGATTCTAAGATCCTGTAGGAGAAAGTCTAAGAAAGAGAGTTTAACTGTTGAATTATTACCAGGCCCCCTATTTCTACCTTTCCTGCCCCCTCAAAAAATGAACCTCTTGACAACTCCTCTAGCTTGTGTGGTTTTTCATCTGAAGCCAATGGCAGACACCTCCCAACTCTCTAGAGGGGGTCGGCTTATCTGCTTGATTCCCTCCTCATTCAAACCTTTGGAAGAATCTAAGACAGCTCAATGTAATGTTTGTGTGTGTTTACGAAGAGTCAGTGCCAGAGGTCAGCAAGTAGTATCTACAGGCAAATAACTAGAAAATACTTGATTCATCTACAAGGCAGATTTCCTTCCTCAGAGGCTTTCCAGAAACTTTAATAATATGTCCAATGAGACTCCAAGAAAGGAAAAGAAAACATTTCCTAGACATTATTTTGATAATGGACCCTTCTCCTCTGTAGCATGTTGAGGCACTACTGATTCTTAGAAAACATCTTGCTTTTAAGAAAATGGTACAAGTCAGTTTGCTTTAAAAATCTAACTTCCTTACTCCTTTTAGAGATTTATTTTTTCTTTCTTTCTTTCTTTTCTCTCTCTCTCTCTCTCTTTCTTTCTTTCTTTTCTCTCTCTCTCTCTTTCTTTCTTTTCTCTCTCTCTCTTTCTTTCTTTCTTTCTTTTCTTTTTTGTGCCTCAGGGACATGAGACTGGCAGCAACTGCCTAATGCTCTGCAATCCATCACTACCAAAATATATGACAAAAAGCACAATAACAAAAAGTAATTCTCCCACCTCCACCTCCCACCTCCACAATCCCAGCTACTGGGGAGGTGGAGGTGGGAGAATTGCTTAAGCCTAGGAGTTCAAGACTAGCCTGGGCAATATAGCAAGACCCTGTCTCTATTTGATTAAAATTTTAAAAGAAAGAAAAAAAAGCCAATGCTTATTGCATGCATACATACCACCAGGCACCAGGCAAAGCATGTTGCATACTAACAACAGCCACGTGGATTGGTTCTTTTTTTTTTTGAGATACAATCTCACTCTGTTGCCCCCAGGCTAGAGCACAGTGGCATGATCATGGCTCACTGCTGCCTTGACCTCCTGAGCTCAAGTGATCCTCCCACCTCAGACTCCCAAGTAGCCTGGAATTTGCTACCACCATGCCTGGCTAATTTTTGATTATTTGTAAAGATGAGGTCTCATTATGTTGCCCAGGTAGGTCTTGAACTCCTGGCCTCAAGCAATCCTCCTACCTCTGCTTCCTAAAATTACCTATTTTTACATATAAGGGAATAAAAGATCAAGAAGCCAATGATTTGCTTCATACCATAATTGGCAAGCAGTATACCATAAGACCCACTGGCTATGCAAACAATGATGCTAGAGGGAAATTATCAGGCCAAAATTGTCAATTGCTGCCGGGTATGGTGGTTCACGCCTGGAATCCTAGCACTTTGGGAGGTCAAGGAGGGTGGATTGCTTGAGTCCAGGAGTTGGAGACTAGCCTGGGCAACATGGCAAAACCCTGGCTCTACTAAAAATCCAAAAAACTACCTGGGCCGTGGTGATGTGCACCTGTAGTCCCAGCTACTCAAGGAGGCTGAGGTGGGAAAATCACCTGAGCCCTGGAGGTCGAGGAGGACTGAGTCAAGATTGTACCACTGCAATCCAGCCTGAGTAACTGGAGTGAGACCCGTCTCAAAAAACAAAAAGACTCATTAATTGCTGATAAAATCATGAGACAAACAGTGGGAAACAGGACATTCATATGGTGCCAAAGTCCTGCCATGCAGGTGGTTTACCACCTTCTTTCATTTCACAAGAGGAGCAGTGATTACTGAAGAAACCAGAAGGTCATGATTTTAATCCAGTGCTCAATTTTACCATCACTAATGCCACAACAACATGGTCTTGCAATGTGAGGAAACGTGAAGTATGTCATATCTCCCAGGATGTATTTTTTCCTTTTGGTCAAAAACATTTAACTTAAAAATCAAGGCTTTAGATCTAACTTACAGTCTACACAAAACACAGGGCATAGAGGGACAAGCTGGATAAGACCACAGGAAGTGAGCAGCTAAATACAGAAGGTGAGCTATTTTATGAGATAATCCTATTTTATGGCTCAATCCTCTGAAAAAGGCAGTGTTATGAAAAAAGCAACTATTCTATATCCAAAGAGATTTAGGTGAAATAACAACTTGATGTGCTATAACATTCTAGATTGGATCCTGGCCTGGATAAACATATGCAAAGGATATTCTTGGAATAACTGGGAAAATTTGACTATGAATTGGTATCAGATGATATTAAGGAATTAATTCACTTTTGAAGTGTGATATTGTTTATTGAATCTGTAGGAAAATTTTTAACAAAAAACACTGTCCTTAGCCTCTGTTAGAAACCATAAGCTAAACGGGCAGAATCAGTGCACATGGCTATCAAAGTGTGGTGAATAGAAAGTAGTTGTCTCTCTTTGTATAATTCATCACATATTTCTAGGGCTCCATTGGCCTCTTGGAAGCATAACTGAAGTCTCAAACAGATTGCCTCCAGGGCTCAATTGCTTTGCTGAAGTCAGTTCATTGAACTGTGGGTTCTAGGGGAGACGGAAACTCTCAGTCACCGTTGAGAACCCTTCTGCTGGGCATCTGTCCTGAAAAAGCCCCCAGACGAAACTCACATCTAATTCCCTCTTCTTAAAACGGGATCCCAGTGTGAGCGGATGAGGGGCAAGATGAAGGCTGGCTCCTGAGTAGCTGGCTGCTGAGAATGCCCAGCATCTTTCTTCTTCAGCAGCAAAGATCCATGAGGCCAGCTGGCTCTGTCACGCTGCGCTGGTGGCACTAGGTGAAGTCACCATGGTCCAGGGACTGGGCCTCAGCTTCACAGGTTTCAAAATTCAATTTGTCAGTTCATTGAGGGATGATGATTTTTGGGAGCACTGAGTTGCAATAACCAAACTCAAAAGAGTCATATTTGAAACATAGAATGCCAGTGTGATTTTATGAGGAATGGTATGATCTGGACTATACTTTTTCCCTCACTAGTTGGTGGATACACTCTGGAGACTAAAT